AAAGACAAAAACTTTGATCCATGTAGAAATAACATTCTTGTGGCTTGAGGAAATGGTAGATGCTAAAGCAATAAATAAGTAAAACATATGGTATGTTGGAAATTTGGAAAAATATACCAGGAAAAGAAGTTCTGGAGTGCTGGGGAAGGGTGGCAAGTTGTACGTTAGAATAGGGTAGTAGTCAGAATAAGCTTCATTAGAAAATTAATAGTTGAGCAAGGACTTGAAGGAAGTTAGAGAGTTAGTGAGATAGATATTTGGAATAAGAACTATCCTGGGTGAGACTTTGAAAGCAAAAAATGTATATAATGCAAAAAAAATCAATATAAGGTTAGGAGAAAAAATGTAGAAAACTGTCATTCTTTACAGATGATAGGATTTTCTACTTAGAAAGCACAAAGAATCAAATATTTTTAAAACATATTTTATTGTTGATAGTATTACAGATATTTCTCATTTCTCCCCCTCCAACTCCTTCCTCCCAGCCTCTACCCACTCCAGGTTTTTATTACCCTATTGCCCATTTCCATGGGCTATGCATATAAGTTATTCAGTTTATCTTTCCTCGTCCCCCCAACCCCACATAGAGGTATGTCAGTCTGTTCCATGCCTCCATGCTTCAGGTCTTATTTTGATGTTCAATTTCAGATATTTTTAATGTTTATTTTTTATTAAATTTTTATTGTCAAAAGTATTACATATGTCCTCCTTATTTGCCCCTTTGACCCCTTGTAGCCGACCCCCGCCCTTTGCCCCAGGCCTTCACTACACTATTGTCTGTGTCCATGAGTTATGCATATATGCTTACAAATTCTTTGGTTAATCTCTTCCTACTCACCCCTACCCCCGCCTTCCCTCTGAGAGAATCACATATTAATCATTCAAATTATTAAGAAAGTTTAGCAAGCATGCTAGATATAAAATCAATCTAAAAATCATTTTTATTTCTACCAAAGAGTCCAATAGAAAAGTGGACAGGGGAAAAAAAAGCGGCCAGAAGATTTGAAAGAAGCAGTTCTTAGAGAAGGAAACCAAATTGCCAATAGACATTGAAAAGATACTCTGCATGCGGGGCCGCTGTGGTTCAGTGGTTGAGCATTGACCTATAAACTACTAGGAGGTCACGGTTTGATTCCCACTCAGGGTGCATGTCCGGGTTGTGGGCTCGATCCCCAGTGGGGGAGTGTGCAGGAGGCAGCCAATCAATGATTCTCTCTCATCATTGATGTATCTATGTCTCTCTCCCTCTCCCTTCCTCTCTGAAAGCAATGAAAATATATGTTTAAAAAATAAAAGATGCTTGGCTTCCTCAGTAACTGGATAAATAAATGTAGATTAAATGCACAATGACATGCCAATTCACATCTCTCAGACTGGCAAAAGTTTTAATTGGTTATATTGAGAATAGGACAGGATAGGTGGTGCAACTTTTATCCACTGATGGGAGGCATATGATTGCTGCCGACACTTTGGAAAACGGAATTAGCTAATAAGTGTTCAAGATGCACACATTTTGGCTCACATTATGACTCCTGAGTGTATATCATAGGGAAACCCTTGCCCATTGGCAGGCAAACACTACAAATAACCTTGGCACATAATAAGCACCCAATAACTCTAGGAAAAGGGGCTGCATAAATACATAAATTATGAATGATTCATAACATGACGGACTATTCAGCCTTCTACTCCAAGTGTGGTCCAGCACCACAGGGTTCATTCTTACTTTCCTTCTTGCTTATTTGTAACTTATTTTGGGGGACAGTGAAAACCTGACTTCTAACGTCCTGTGAACCTACTTTCATTTTATCAAAATGGTGCTTTACTATATAGATTTCATCCTCTTTCTTACTTTCTTCATCTGTAGATTTGCTGTGTGTATATCTAATCTTTTACTTCCAAGTATAGCATACGATTTCATCATGTGTATCCACTTATCTTACTCACCTGCTTTCTTTGCAGAAAAAAATATATTACCTCTAAAAAGAGCTTAGGCAAAGACTTCATCAACAGTGCCTAAGCAGAATCAACCTCACTGCCTCTGCAATTGATGTTCTCTCAACCTGCATGGCTCTTCCTCTAGCTTTTTCACAGTTATTTCCTTCCCATAGTCCCTCGGATTTCAGCTAAAATGTAACCTCCTTAGAGTTGCTTTCCCTGACCAAATTCTATGAAAGAGTTCTCTTCTAGTGTGAAATACTCTATTACATATTCCTGCTATATTGTATGTCCCTGGTTACTAGCTGAAAAATCTTATCTATTGATTTACTTACAAATGTATTGTCTGTCTCCCACCCCCACCTTACTCCCCAATTAAATATTACTAGTAGCTCCTTGGGAGCAAGGATTTTGTTGCCTTTCTTTACTATGCTTTCATCACATAGAACAACGCCTGGAGGATAATCAGTGTTTAATAAATACTTGAAGAAGTATTGAATGAGAGAGGGGTGATAACCTGGGCAATTCAAGGCAACCTATGGAGAGGATCTGGTTTCAAGATGACTCAGACCAAATCAGAATATTTCACTTTCCCACTTGTCTCTTTCTTAACAGTATTCCTTCTTACTCCCGTTAATGTTATACAGTTAGTTGTAAAGAGAAGGAGTATTGCTCAGCAGATCTGAGATCCAGATCTGAGATCCAGTCCTAGCTAGGTCTCTTCGGGTTTTGTGCTCACACGGCTCGGGCTACAATTTGTAGGTGAAATTGTCCAGTAACTTGGAATTTCTGTGATATTGGTTAACTCCCTGGTGTAGATGAGTTGCAGTCTGTAGTAAAATGATGTTGCTAACGCTACAAAAGCTCTGTAAAAGGCATTGGGGAGGGTTGTGAACAGGAGGGGCCTTCTGATGAGCCTACTGTACAGAATCAGCATAGCCGTCCCTACACTCCAACCCCTCACCCCCCAGGGGGGCAGCGCCTTTCAATTAGCTCAGGCTCTCTAACTCTGCTCTTAGGAGTTTGGGTTAGCAGGCCCAGTGGCATCTCCCATGACAGTGATGGCGAACCTATGACACGCGTGTCAGAGGTGACAGGCAAACTCATTTTTTGGTTGATTTTTCTTTGTTAAATGCCATTTAAATATATAAAATAAATATCAAACATATAAATCTTTGTTTTACTATGGTTGCAAATATCAAAAAACTTCTATATGTGACACGGCACCAGAGTTAAGTTAGGGTTTTTCAAAATGCGGACACGCCGAGCTCAAAAGGTTCGCCATCGCTGTCCTATGAGGCTTGCTTGCGGAGCCGGTGCGATGGGCGGGGCTACATCTGCAGCCGGGGCTTTGTGGCTCCCAGTAAGGGGTGTGGCTACGATAGGGGCGGAGCTACGCTGGCAAGATGGCGGAGCAGTTCTAGGGCAGCAGAGGAGGAGCAGTAGCTACTGCTGCTGCGGAGAGCCGCGCCAGGGAGGAGACCGAGGGCGGGGCTTGAGGGTGCCCCGGCTTCAAGTCCACCTGCCCTTGGCTCCTGCTCCTGCTGGTCAGCGAGGCCGGAGACTGCCCGGCCCATGGCGGTGTCAGCGGCTCTGTCGGTGG